ACGTGACGCTGCGGCTGTGATTGGTTCGGCTCTGCACTACTTAATTTGGATTGGCTGTTCTTTTTTGTTAAGAGGACAAGAGCGGTGAGGTCTGTTGCAATAGTTTAACTTTTCTATGGAGAAAAAGTTATTTCGTTCTCGTTCTATCGCCCAGCTCTACGGCGCCGACGTGCAGGGAGGAGGGCTGGAGTCACCTGAGTTTGGACGCTGATGGAACCTGTTAATATGATTTATTTAGTCTGATCACAAACACAGTGAATGAAGCCAGCACACAGAACATCACCTGCTCACTGGCTCCTCCCTCTCTCCCTCAGGGTTCAGGTGTTCTCTCAGGTGAACAAGATGTCGGCCCATAACCTGGCTGTGGTCCTGGTCCCGTCCCTGTTCCAGGCCATGAACCAGGACTTGATCACCCTCACTAGAGAGTTCATCATCCACCACACCCTGCTCTTCCTCGTAAGTTTGCTGCTTCCTGTTTCCTGTTTCTACGACGAGTTTGGGTCAGCTGATCCAGCTAACCCGGAGAAAGCCTGACTGATGTGACGTTTGTGTGCAGACCCCAGACTCGGCTCAGAGGCAGGAGCAGACCTTCAGATGAAGATCAGCTGGAGCCGTTTCTGTTAGCTTACTGTGAATCTTTTGGGATGTTGAGGAAACTGTTGTTATTGAAATCACTGACCAATCACTGTCTACTTCCTGTTTCCTGTCAGTTGAACTACAGCTATCAGAGAGAATGATCACTGTTGGCTCCCCCTGCTGGCTGCTCTTTACGGTGGTTGTTAAATGTTAATGTGAGGCTCTGCAGCTGAGCACTCACTTTATGATAGTATTTTTCTTTCATCTTTAAATCTGCAAATAATTCATGAACTGAATCTGAACATTTAATAAAATCTGCATTAAATTCTTGTTTTATTTTGTAATTAACATAATAATAGATCAACTTCATTGAATTTAAATAATTGACCACGTTCAAGACCTTACATTATGACAGAGAACCCCCAACAAACAAACCCCCCCCCGTGAGCAAGCACTCTTTAACAGGAAGAAACTTGCAGCGTCACCAGGCGGCGGGTTAGAGAGCCAGAACCGCGTGATGACTCATGGCTACATGCAGAGAGGTGCACTGTGACAATGACATGAAGGCTTTGACCAGCAGGCGGGTTGCGTGCACACGAAGCGTCACACAATGAACCTTTGTGCATCTGGATGGAAAAGGCTTCATGACCATCACTAGCAGTGAATCCTATGTGAGCATCAGCTCAGGGTAAACATGACCTGATTGGTCCACCTCTGATCAGCTGTGAAGGAAACTCCTGGATCAGGTCCCTACGCTGTGATGGTGAGAGGCACGCAGTCTAACCACAGTGAAACGTGCAGCCTGGGTTTAATGTTTGATGCTTGTTAGAAACCTGCGTGACCTGGAAACAGTGAAAGCAACGAGGACATGCAGTCTGTGAACGCACCGTCACAGTGTCAGTGTGTAATACGAGGCCAGAAACTGGAACTCGACTTTGTGTGTTTAGTGCATTTCTACCCCCCTCCAGTAACGCAGCACTGTAGGGTTTACATGGTCATGCACATCCTGTACACTAACACAGTGGTTCACAAAGTGGGGAGCGCGACCCCCCAGTGGGGGTGCAGAGCCATTGAAAGGGAGGGCGGGGTAGGAATAAAAAAAAGCATGCTTGGACGCTGCGAGGATGGACAGCAGCGGCGTTTTTAACCCACAA